TTCTTGTTGATTTGAATATTGTTGAATTTTTGTGAATTTGAATAAAATAACTTTTAGTTCAATAATCTAGGATTTTGCTGGTTGGTATTTTAGAATTTTTTGATCCAGTTTTGGAATTTTTGTTGATGGTAAATAGTATTATAATTATTAGAAATATATCTTATTTTTATTTTCAAATAAAATTTTTTAAATAATATTCAAAATATTATTATTCATAATCAAATAATACATTTTTTCTATATTTTTTAACATATCTAATATATATAAATTAAAATAAAAAAATATATTTTATTAATATATATATATATTAATTAATATACATATAATATTCATATATTCTTACAATATATATATACTAATATACATTTTCTGAAAATAAAAAATATGTATTATTATATATATTATTATATGAATATCAAAAAATATAAATAAATATTAATATTTTTATAGATTGAATATTAATACTGGATGCTGAAAAATCATGCTTTAACTTCTTTTTTCATTATATAATTACTGTATTTTATTATATAATTATGTTATTTAATCTTTTTTTATTACACAATCATGCTCTTAATTTGTTTTTTCAACATTAATTTTTCTTTTATTATGTAACTGTATTTTATTATGTGATTCTGTTATTCAATCTTTTATTCTTTCATTAAAAAAGATGAAAAAAAGAAAAGAAAGAGATAAATTTTTATTTTAAAAGAATAAAGAGAAAAGAAAGAAAGATTTTTTTTGATAAAAAAGATAAGAAAAGAGAAAAGAGGGAAATGAATTTTTATTTAAAAAAAGAAGAAAAATAGAAAGAAAAAAAGTTAAAAATGTGAAATATATAATAAATTTCAATAATTTATTATATTAATTTATTAATATATATAATATATAATGAAATATATTCAGTTTATGATATTTATGATTATAGAATATATAATATTTGTAAATAATTGTATTAAATATAATAAGTATTACAAATAAATTTATATTAAATATTTAATAGAAGTAAAAATATTAAAAATCTAAACTTAATAAATAAATATAATAGAATTAATAGTAAATAAATAAAAATTTCGAATAAAAAATTTATTAATATTGAATAACTTATGAAGAAGATTTTGAATTAATTTATAAAGTATTTTGATTAAATAAATTAATAAATGGAAAATGAGATTATAATAAAGAAATTGAAATTATACTGATGATTAAAAGTAATATAACAAATTATTAAAATTACTTATTAAAATATATTTTACAAATAACTAGTAAAATTATATAAATATAAAATATTAATAATATTAGTTTTATATGTTAAAAATTTATTGATTATTATTAAAATTAACTTTGAAATAATTAAATAATTTGTATAAAATACAAGTTATATTTTTTTAATTTATTTTTTATTATTAATATATTAAGTTATATAAAAATTATTAAAAAAAGTAAATTTTTAGTGATTATTATTTTTTGTTTAATATTTTTATTGTTATATAACAAATAAAAATGTTAAAATATTATATAGTTTTAAATATTATTTTATTTAATAGAATATATTATATCAGAAAAGGGTTAGGATTAGAGTTAGATTTTATATATTTGTAAAATTTGATTTAGAAAAAATAATAATTTCAAGATAAAAAATATATAATTTCAATATTTTTTATTGAGTTAAGTTCGTATTTTAGTTAATTTTATACTGAAATAGAAATTCATAATTTTAGTGATATTATAGTACTGGTAAAATTTATATAAATATATGTAAATTCAGTAAAATTTTATAAAAATTGTGTGATTTATAAGAAAAATTCAAAATTTTAAAAGAATTTCAAAATTTTTAATAGAATACTTGATAGAAAATTATTAGTTCTAGTTAAAATAATGTATATTTTTTTAAGAAAAATAATAATGTATAAACAATATGATTAATAAGATATTTGATTTGAATTGAATATTATGTTATAGATTAAGTGATAAGTTATATAATTTAGTTAATGAGTAAAATTAAAATTATGGTATAGTAAGATTTGGTTAAATTAGTTTTTTTTGTAATATAGTATTAGTGATGCAATATGAATAAATAAAAATTTTAATTGTGGTATAGTAATTATTAGTTGAATTAAATTGGTAGATAATTTAAAAAGAAAATATTAAATAAAGAAATACTAAAAAGAAATTATTAAGAAAGATAATTAATATTATTAATTATTTTTGTTAAGATATTAAATAATTAATAAATGGTTAGGGTTAGGGTTAGGATTAGGTTTTATGTATTAGTAAAAGTCAGCCTAGTGAAAAACAATAGTCTCAAAACAAAAAATATATAATTTTAATACCTTTTATCGAGTCAAATTTGTATTTCAGCTGACTCTATACTAAAATAGAGATTCATAATTCTGGTGATATTGTAGTACTGGTAAAATTTACACAAACATATGTAAATTTGGTAAAATTACACAAAAATTGCATGATTATGTAATTACTAAGTAAAAATTCAAAATTCTAAAAAGAATTCCAAAATTCTCAATAGAATTCTTGGCAGAAAACTATTGGTTCCAGTTAAAATGGCACATATCATTTTAAGAACAATAGTAATGCATAAATAATGTGATTAATGCATGTAAATACAAACAAAAATAAACTATTTTTGAATAAGTTATCCGATTTGGACTGGGTATCATGTGACAGGTCAAGTGATAAGTCATATGATTCAGTTATGAGTAAAATCAGATCTGTGATGCAACTATAGTGCAACACAATTCAGTTAAACTAGTTTTTCCAGTGACGCAGTATTAATGGAACAGTACAGATAAATAAAAAGTCTAATTATGGTGCAGTAATTATTAGTCTAACTAAATTGGTAGACAGTCTAAAAAGAAAATACCAAATAAAGAAATACCAAAAAAGAAATTATCAAAAAAGGCATTACCAAATTGGAATTCTAAATAAGAAATTATCAAAAAAGACAATTAGAATTGCTGATCATTTTAGTTAAGGCATTAAAGAATTAATACATAGTTTTGATCAGGTGATTCTTGAATTAGAGTTAGGATTCCAGATAGAAATAAAGATGCCTATCTTGAGCATCTAAATTCATAAAAATAAATCCTATTTTTAACTCTTAATAAATTAATATTTCGAAGAAATATGCGAAGTATTTCTAATATGTTCAATATCCAAAGGATCCATTAGATATTAGTGACCAGATCAATTAAATCTAGCTACATATTATATTTTCTTCTTTATTTATTCATTATAGAAATTAAACTCTTGTCTTTCTTAATGATTAGATTAACTTTAAAATTGTTGTTATCATTAATATTTTTATATATTATAGATTTATACAGATCTTTAATCAAAATTCTTTCAGAAATATTGTCTAAAAGGATAAAATTCTTAGGTGATTTCATGTTATTAGAAGGTAATAACATATTATTTTAATTATCAAATAAATTTTTTAATAATAAAGGTTCTATATTTTTAGATAAATATCTTCTATCTAACAAGAACTCTTTAAAATTATTTAAAGTGATGTTATAATCATTGATTGAAGAGGAATTACAAATTAAATGGATGTTTTCACCTTGAATCCAATCGTAAACATAGTTATATGAGTAAAATGATCTAGGTTTAATATAAATATGATGATCTTGTGGTTTATAATAATTAGAGACTGTCAATTTGTAGCTGTTATTGATCATAACTTTATGAATAGACACATCCAAAAAGTTAATATTATCACCAATATGACAGGTGTTAACAATAATCATATTGTCAGTAATTAATCTATAATTAAAGGTGAATATTTCAATATTATTTAATCTAGTAAAGATAGCAAAATGTCATTCAAATAACGTCAAAAATAAATTGGCAAATTTGATAGATTAATAAAATTATCTTCAATGGTTGCAAGAAAAAGATTAGCAATAATAAAACCAGCTGGTGTGCCCATTGCGATATCTTTTATTTGTTGAAAAATACGATTGTTAAATTTAACAAATGATTGTTTACAAATTCATTTCATTATTTCAAGTTCGAGATAAAGAGATGAAATGTCAATGTTAAAAAATTTCTCATATTTTAAGAGAAAGGATTTAATTTTTTTGGCAGCTTCAATATGTTTAATTGACAAATAAAATTTCTCAACATCAAATGAAACTAAAAGAATATCATGATTGAACGTCATTTGTTCAATATAGATTATTAATTTCGTTGCATTAGACAATATATGAGGAATTTAATCAACATATCGTTACCATTGTGAAGCTAATCATTTGGATAATTTAGAAGTTATTCAAGTATGATTTGAGACTATAGGACGTAAACTCAATTCTTTTTTATGAATTTTAGATAATCCATATATAGACAGAATTGGAGTATCTGAATTAGGAATAAGATTCATTAATTCAGAGTTAAATTACGTCGCAAAGTATTGCAAATACAAATAAAATGAGCACGAATGCCATTTTGATAGCATGATTTTTCAGCCCAACTAGAACTATCATTTAATAAATCAAGTATTAAATTATAGTATTTATCTTTGTTTAAGATTATTAAATCAAGATTATTATCTGCGGGAATCATAATCAAATTATTTGAAAAAAAAATTGAAAACTTGTTCAATATTTCAAGATACAAAAAGAAAATCTTTATTAATATTATTATATTTATTAAAATATAAATAATTTCTATCTAACGCAATTAAAAAATCTACGCTAATTTTTTGGAGTGATTTTTCTTGGCTTTTTGGAGGTATTGCGTTGCGACTTTGGACCAGTTTTGGTCAAAGTTCTGTAAAGAAAGAGAATGAGAGAATTAAAAATTTACACCTAGACTAAGAGTATTTTCAATGAAAGGTGGAAGTGAAATATTAGAAAGATTATTAACGAATATCTTTTGATTGTTATTTTTGGTTTCTTTTGTTTTATCGGGTCTTTTTTGATTTTCTTTTTGGATGAATCAATTATCATGGTGTCTTCGTCGACATTTGATGGTGTTTTTCATTTTCACAGCTTTAAAATATTAGAAGTATTAGAAGCATTAAATTCTTTTGTGATATAGTTTTCAACAAATGGAATATTAAGTTCATTATATGAAATAAAATCTATTTTTCTTACTGGTTCAATATCGAGAAAGTGCTCGATGTTAAGTTGCAATATTTTTTCATTATATTGCCATAAGGTACTCTCTATTCTGTTTTTAGCAGAGTTTGAGTACGTCGTAGTGAGTTCAGTCTTTAATGAACCACTACTTACATTGATTTGAAGTTCAGTTTGCATCTTATTGAGCTTCTCATTTAATTGCTTGGTATAGTTTTCACAAATTTGTTCTTGTTCCTTAAAAAGTAAAGTGAGTTTTTCCGAGAGGAAATTACTGTGCTTTTTAGCCAAGACTTTATGAATTTCTTGCGACAATTCATTTTGAATAGTAGGAACAAGAGTGGGAGGAAGATTTTTAAGAGAAAGTGAGCAATAATAGTCAATGGATTTATTATCTAAAGAGGTGATTTTGTTTCTTAAAGAAGAGATTGCTAACAATTTGGTCTTATAAAGATCAACAAATTTGTTAACAAAGGGAAGAGCAAGAGATAAAGGAGTAACAGCGAAGGTAAAAGAAGAAGGAGCAGTATTAGAACTTATTTTTGTAATTATGAATGTGTTTGTGAGTTAGTTTTTATATATTTGTAAAAGTTAGCTTAGTGAAAAACAATAGTATTAAGACAAATATATATAATTTCAATATTTTTTATTAAGTTAAATTTATATTTTGGCTGATTTTATACTGAAATAGAGGTTTATAATTTCAGTGATATTGTAGTATTGGTGAAACTTATACAAATATGTGTAAATTTGGTAAAATTGTGTAGAAATTCAAAATTCTAAAAAGAATTCCAAAATTCTTAATAGAATTCTTGGCAGAAAACTATTAGTTTTAGTTAAAATGATATATATTATTTTAAGAACAATAGTAACGTATTGTTACAGTAGTAACATAAAAATCGTTAATTTCAAAAATAATTGAAAAATACAAAATATTCAAAAATATTCAT